TTTACAATTATAATATTTACAATTATAGTCAAATTATATAATACGCTCAATTAAGTAGATCTTTTTAACAACTTTTTTTTATTGGTTTTTAGTTAATTCTGTTCTATAAAAAATTTAATTCTGTTCTATATATTTCAATTGTAGAATCTTTTTAAACACCAAAAGTTAATTATAAATGATTACTATGATTTATATTTAATTATGATTTATATTATGATAAAAATGAAAAAAAAAATAGAGCTTTTCTGATAAATTTAGTGTAAATAGTAATTATAAAATTTGCTGACGGCATATTAATCTTAACAATTTCATTTTTTTCTATTTAATGATGTCAATTTCTCAAACTTGTNTCAGCTAAATACTCTATGACAAGTTAGCAACCCATTCAATTATGGTATGGCTGGGCTAGGGGTAAGGCGTAATTATCTATTGTATACATACATCATACATCATATACATGATTAATGTCATAAACGTACCACGCGAAAAAAGAATACCTTCGGTGCTCCCAGGCTTCTCTCTCCTCTCTTTTACAATTGATTTCATTTCGTCTTATATACTAAAATATTTTGTTTTTCTTCATTTTACGAATACAACATAAATAATACAATCAAAAAATTTTTATAAATATTTACTTCCTGATCTATTAACAATAATTCAGGAAATTACAATTAAATCACATATTACAAAAATGTTTTACTTCCAGCTTAAATAATAAACTATATTATATTTAGTAACAATAGATCAAGAAATTGGAATTCGGGTTCCTACTTATAACTACAGATCATCATCTGATCTATTTTAGCTTCGATGCAAAGCTGAGAAGGTATTAATTTTACTATGATGTATTTTTTTTTGATTTGTCTATTTTTTTGTTTCTGTTACCACTATTTCTCAGCTCTCACCGAACCTATTTCTTTCAACGATACGTCAAAAGATCACAAATCGTATCTAGACGAAGACATTACCCTCAAAAATTGAAAAAATTTCCCTCGTTCCCCGTAAATGGGGGAAACCTCTAAAAAAAATACAAATTTAAAAATCGCTAATTTTCGAAATTTTTTCAATTTTTTTTACTAAAAACTGCTATAACTTTTTCAAAAATAAACATATTAATATAATTTTTTTTTTTAGATACATAAGGTATTTACCTATCATTATGTATAAAATTTTATGAATTTGACCCTTTACCTGCCCACAAGGGTAGATTCAGAATGACAACTTTTTTCAACTTAATTTTTGAAAGTGTTCTGGAAATACTGACCCTTTTATATATATATCTTAAATAAAAGTTTATGTAATATACTTTAATATGAAAAAAGAAATTTCGGACTTTATTTTGTTTTTATGATGAAAACGGACATCAATGTCGATAATTAAAAATACGATTTTTGTAAAAAATTACAATATTAAATTATTAAATATCGATTTCATGCTATATTTAATTGCTATCATAAATATTTATTCGTATATTACACTTATAAATTATAAAACTTTTTTACTAAAAACTGCTATAACTTTTTCAAAAATAAACATATCAATATAATTTTTTTTTTTCATGATAAAGTATATTACATTAGCTTTAATTTAAGATATATATAAAAGTATCAGACCTTCCGGAACACTTTAAAAAGTTATTTTGAAAAAATTAATTTTTTGTAAAAAAGTTGTCATTTTAAATCCCCCCTGTCAGATATCATTATACTTGATCCAACTATGCCACGTCACCACTGTGCCGCGACCCCCCTGTGCTGGGTTTTTTTATTGTGTATGTACGTTAGGATGTCCCTTATTTTTCAAATTTAGAAATTTTTCGGACTAATCTGCTAAATTTGTATGTATAGGTATAAAAATTTCAGGCTGATCAGATAAATTTAACTTGTGCCGACTTATGGTTGAAAATTGGCCAATAAGGGTAGTTTTTTAGTTTTTAGCAATTAACTCGTAAATTAGCGCTTTTACAAAAAAAACTGTTAGAACCTAATTTATACAATACAATAAGATTTACAATTTAGTTTCAATATTTTTTTTTTTTTGTGAGAGCGCTAATTTACGAGTTAATTGCTAAAAACTAAAAAACTACCCTTTTTGGCCAATTTTCAACCATAAGTCAGCACAAGTTAAATTTATCTGATCAGCCTGAAATTTTTTGTAGCCACTATTTATACCTATACATACAAATTTAGCAGATAAGCCCGAAGAATTTCTAAATTTTAAAAATAAGGAACACCTTAATATACTCGTTAAAAACGACAACTTCTATTTAATAGAAGATTATTTTATTTAAATTAAAAAAAAAATATTATTTTGCTCTTTAATATCATACATTTATTAACTTGCAAAAATATCATAAAATGAAAAAAATTAATGATTAATGATTTATCGTCAACTTATGTACTGTTTTTCACACGATCATTGAACTTGGAGCTATTACGGTCACATGACACTGGACAAATTAAATCATTTAATTCAATAAACAAAGAGACCTAAACAGACCCGCACTCGCAATATATCATACAATTGCCGAGAGGATAACAAAACCGCTACAAAAATGATGCTTTCGATTAAAAAAACAGAGTATATTTTTTTATGTTACCGCTCTAGCTAAATGTTTCTATTTCATAGACCATTACGTTAGTACTATACGGGTAGAACATTTCTCTTAAACGTTTAATAACATACAAATAATAAACTATTATTAAAGGTTGATATAATGCCTATACATTACCTAAAATTATTTGTTTATCTATCTCTGGAATAATTCAACATTTATTTTTCTTAAAAGAATTCTTTATAGATCTTCGTTATTAGTGTTGCAGTATTATTAATTATGCACATCGTTTTGATTGTCAAAGTGCTTAATTTATTGCTAGATTCACATTCAAGGTGAGATGCTTAAATCCAGGGCATTCTTCAAAAAGGTTATTTTTGTTTAAATTAATAGTAATTTAGTAAAAATTAAATTTATTTTCGTTTAAAACGATTTTCACAGCATTAATTGCTTTCTGTGTATTCGTTAATAAAAATAGTAAAATTAGGGTTGTGATTTTACCTCTATGTTGTAATAAGAATGTTTAATAGCAAATGTAACAAATAAATATGTTCCTTGGGGAACCTTAGAAACAATATAATTTTATCTGTATAGAATTATTTATTTTAACAAAACGCAATCTATCTGTAATATAAGAATTTATCCAAGATAATAATTGATTAAGAACACCATTTTTTAATTTTATGTTTATTAAGTTAAAACCCTTTTTTTTAGTAATTTTATGAAAATACAAACTCCTATAGAAAATAATTTTCGAATTCCGCACTGCTCGAAAACAGGTAGAAAAGGGGGGTGTAGGTGCATGACCCACGTTAAAACTTTTAAAGTTTTAGTCAGTAATTGTTCAATGCTTGTTACCAAAAACAAAAAAATTGAAATAATTATTCAATTGATAAAAATAATATTTTCACCTCCTCACCTTATATTAACTTCAGGGGGTCTATTTTTGAATTTTATATTGGTGTACTAATCTGTTTAGTATACTAAAACATGACGTTTTAGTGCAACTATTAGTGTGAAACTAAAAAACCGTATTTTTGAATGTTGGTATGCTAAAAAATATTTATTAGTGTACAAAAATTTTAGATGATCTTTTTAGAGTGGTATCTACCACACTAATTATGATTTTAGTATACTAATGTTACTGTTATCATTCATATTTATTGAAAACTTATATATTTATAACGTTTTCAAATTTATTTAATATTAAATATTAAAATGGAACACTTTTTTAATATAAATTATGTGCAAGTTATTAGTAATTTAGAAATAGTTGAAGATAATAACCATTCAACAATGAAATTTCGTTTAGCGGAGGATCCATTCATTGGTATGTTATAAAACAAATTACAATATGTAAAATTATCTATTTACATTATTAAATGTTATTTTCTGTAGTTTTGTCCGAAAGGGCTTTTATACAAAAATTTAGACTGACAAAAGTTCTTGCACTAAATTTAATTAATGAGCTACGCCCATATTTAGAACCCCCATCGAGGAAGTCTGCTATAAGTATAGAGCGCAAAGTATGCAAAATATTGTACAATATTGACTAAACAATAAGTAAAATTTAATAAAATTTTTGTCACGATAGGTACTAACAGCTTTACGATTTTTCGCTAGTGTCTTCTTTGGGCCAACAGTTTCATTTAAAATCTTGGTAATATTATGCCATAATAATTTTGCATCTTTCATGGTAAAAGATGGTCCAAATTTTTAAGAATTTAATTTTGAGTGCTTATGAACAAAATCAAATAATGATTGTTTTTGTTCATAAGTCACACTTATTGACTTTTTTTCCCCTCCATTGTAAAACATTACACAAATTGAAATAAAAAATACTGACAAAAAACTCGTGACAAATTTCTTATGGGTGAATTTTGTAGTTATCATAAATATTATCAAGTATTAACTATAAAATTAATATAAAATACAGTACAGCCAATATAATTTAACATATCGCACTAATAATTATTGGTTTGAAATGACATTAGATTAGACGATGTACGATTAGTGCAAGATTTTTAGACTGATAAAAAATAAAATTCAAAAATACGAATTTCCATTAGTGCACTAAAATCATAATCTAATGTTTTAGTGTACTAAAACATTCGCCAATGATTAGTCCAAGCTCAAAAATTGACCCCCAGGACAAATCTACATGGGAGCTATTTATATATCTTCTAAACGAGAAAAATATATAAACAGGAGATCTACTAATATCTCCAAATCCAGTTAAATTCTTAAGAACGCCTTTTCTGAAGTTCCGTCGACTACGTCAGAGATACTGGGACATCCTCTAGTAAAATAGTAGCGACATATGCGCAGTTATCCCAGACCGGATGATGGTGTGTGCACCACTGCACAATGATTCATTGCCTGCCGTCCTGACGTCGTGCGATCATTGTCCCATTTGCTCGTCTCCCCTCACGTTGCCGACGCATTGTACAGTCTGTCGGCCAGTAACTGCTGAGAGAGCGTGGCAATCCATTTAGTAGTTTACACGCGTTTTGTTGAACAGTACTGATTGCTGTTGTTCCGTCGTGACGACCGGTTGATTCGTCTAAACTTTTTTAATTTTATGTTTTCACTAAATCAGTAATCTTAACTCATTTACAGCATACTGTGAACTATTAATTTATACATCAATTAAGTGTTTTGTGATAGTGTGACAAATTTGTTCAATTAAAATTTAACACATTTGCCCAAGGTACATTACAATTTTATTCATTAAGTAGGTATTTATTAGCATTTTAGCTAATAATGTAATTTTACTTAAATTCATGTGACTTCTATTAACAAAAATCTTTAACAAAATAAGTATATGGTAAAAATCTTTAGCATATAATGTATCAGATACCAATTTTAATTAATTACTTAAAATATTATAGTAATAATTATAATTATTATCAATATTATAATAATTTAATTGTTTATTAAATATTTTTATTGTTGGTAGCGTACATTTTTTGTCGTCATTAAATTTGTATGTACTATACACTTTGGAATGTAAGCAAGAAAAAAATTTAAATTAATTAAATATTTAAGGTGTATCGGTTTTAACTCTCATATATCCTAATAAGTTTACAATTTTGATAAAATATGAAGGGAAAAGAAAATGTTTTTCTTGTGTAAATCCTCTTCATGATAAAATTTTAAATTCCTAATAGTGAATTAGGCCATTTAAATATTGAAAGTATTCCAAATAAATTAAAATGTTACATTTATACATCCAATGGTCTATTTGTAAAAAGAACTGTCAAGTATTTTTTTGTTATTTGCAATGTAAATAATTTATGGGTATAATAATATAATTATATTGTTTGATAACTAATGAAAACAATTTAATTTTTAACTTGCATAATATTTACTCCCAAAAATTAGTGTTATTGTTGTCGATTCAATTTTATAGTTTGTTTATAAATTCTTATAAAAGTTATTCAAATTTTTTAATGAAATCTGTATATATTTATACATATTTATTATTATTGTTATATCATTGGGGTATTTTAAACGATGATAGCTGTGAAAAATTTTTCCGGCGGTCGACTCCACTCGACCGTGAAAACCCATATGTCTCTTATTTATATGACGCCGACGCCGCTACTGCCAGTTCTTTTTTCACTGGATACCAGGGTAATTTTTTATACATTAGTATTATATATAATGTATAAATAGATATATAGGTATATATATTGTATTATACGAAGCGGCTCGATAGCCTTGTCAAGAATGTGTGATGACCGTAGAAGCTGTGAGTATTTCACAGTGGAATTTGGGAATCGCCGGAAGAAAATAAATAAATTTCTTCCAGAAGTCGATGAATGGACGCTTTTACACGTTTAGTCTGTGTAGGGTCGACCGAGGGGTGGTACAAAAATACCACGTTGTGTGTGCGTATCAACTTTATTACTTAATTTGTTTCCTGAGGATCGATTAGTGGGCGTTGTAGTTGTTATTTTATTTTTCTATGTGGGTAGTCCGCTCTTCTTCCTTCCTTTCTTTCTCGATAATTTTAATTTTCCCATTAGTATGCCTATCGACCGTTGTATGACGATGTTTGTAAACACAGTGCACGAACACCACCGCCACATAATTCGGTTACTTGGAGTTCAAATCTTGAACTCTTTTAATCAATAAGAAAGAATACAATTTCTCGACAGCAAATTAAATGAGATTTCTAGCAAATATTTGTTCCAACTTATTTTGCCTAAAAGATTGTATAGTACATGCGTGAAAAAATAATGCTATTTGTGATTGGTAAAACGGACGTCGGCAGCAAAATTGGACAAGCGTCCGCATATACTCAGATACCAGTAAAGTGTAATCTAAAATTACACGTGATAAAAAGTGTAATTTGTAAGCTGTCCAAACGTGACGTCTTTTATTAATTGATTCCGACGAATTCGTGTGGCTGTTTTTTTTTTGCATTGGTAAAATTACTTTTAGATATGTATTTTGTTAAGTGCTAATTAAGGTTTTTCCATGGTTAAATATTTTTTTATTTTCTCTTCAGTATATGTTTATGTTAACTAATTTAATTTTAATATTCTGATTTGTCACACGAAGAGTATTGTGTTGAGCAAAATCTTATACATTTGCCCAAGTTAATATTTTCAAAATAAAAGCTATAAAAATAATGCATTATTATTATTTTATTATTGGTAAATTATAAGTTTTGTTGTATTTAATGATGATTTTTATTTATATTAAAAGTAATAATTATTTTTCCAATAAATTTGCTAGAATAGAAATTATTGTTATTCTTAATAGAAATATGAAGCAGAGCATCTGTCAGTGATATGTCTCCCACGCTTACCTATATCTGATAATCTTGTCCGTGGGATGCCATAACCGTGATTGAATAACACATGTTTGTTTACCGTTTTATTGCTATTAACTAACAATAATAATAAAATTATAATGAAATAACCGACTGCATGTCTTCGGGCAAGTAACCCAATAATGAAGTATATTATTGTATTTCGTAGAAAAAAAGCTCAGGTTACATCAATAATTTATTAACGGTAAAATCAATGTCAATATAAATAATAAACATTTAATGTGCTCCACAATATTATGTCTGGAATAAGATGTTGTTACATAATATTGTGTTAATCGATAGCGACATTAAATGAGTTATGACCATTCTATGGAATTTGTTATAAGGTTATTAAAGTAGTAAAAATACACACATGCAAGTTTTCAAAAAATGGCTTGTACTGTAGTTACCGTCTGTTATAGTACGGAATGACAAGGCTAAAAACCTTGTTTTAAAAATAGTTATGAGCAGAGAATGGTCTGTCATTCGTCAAGTGAGGATAAATATAAAATAGAACGATTTGTCAGTCATAGAAAAAATATATTAAATGTCTTTAGATAATAGTATTTTAAATATTATCTTACTTTTATTTTAAAAAGAAAAAATAGGAAGATTTTGAATATTTTAATATCATTAAAACAAAGAGTATTCGCTTCATTACTTAAATTCGTATAATCTGATAAAAATTCTATAATAGAATATCTTATTAACATAACGGCTATCATTTTGCGTTAATAAGAAATATTTTCCTTGGGATTCAATTAGAACGATAAAACCATAATAATGGTAACAATTAATGAGTGATTATATGACTGCGAGAAATTATTAATTTACATACCGTCACACGTCACGCCGAAATCCCACCTAATGACTCAATTCCGTGGAAAACCTGAATTTTAACATTATATGTCTACGATCGCAGATCTACTGACATACTAGATGTTTTAATTAACCTATTTCTCATGGCTAACAGGATTGCGATGAAATTTTTTGGAAGGACATCATTGGGACTTATCAATACATTACTCATCCAAAAATTCTTCAATAGTTCATATGTTTTGAATTGAATTTGTGCAATTATTTTAACGTTAATTTGTACATATATCAGAGAAACTAGATAGTTACGTGCCGTGCTTGTTACGAAAATTAATAATTTATGGGTTATCTAATGAATTTTATAGTAAAAGTATATTTTAACTATAATTCAATTCATTAAAATTTTAATAATTTGAGGTAACTAAACTTAAAATTTTGTATGATAATATCATCATCCTTTTAACTCTTATAAGTAATTAACGTTACTATGTTGAACTCTTAATCACTCTAACCCTAAACTGAATAAATTAAGTAATACATAATGAACATAGTTTATTAACCTATTTTAAAAAAATATATAATGGATGCTATTGATGAGAAAATATTAGTGTGTGAATTTTTACGCATTGTTGTTATTTATTATCCGTTTACATTAAATACGTTTTTTTCACTCCGAGTTGCTGATGAGATCTTCTATGTTTCTCGATAAGGGAGGCCGTTTGAGTATACACATTATTTAATTGTCAAAAATCCGAAATTGGAAAATCGTTTGTAAGAATATTATTATTGGAGGAAAAAACAACCGAGCAAGTGGTATAACATGAAGGACGTTCCGGTTGCTGCTGCTGTTTCTGTTGCTCTATAAACAGGAAAATCCTTATTACTCTCACTCATGCCAGTTTTGTTATTGTAATTATTATTGTCATTCGTTTCAATGTTCACGGCTCCTTTTTATATTACTAAGTATTTCATATTTTGTAATTTGTTTGATTTTCATACAATCAGTTGGTTTTCAAAGGATAGGCTTCATCCGGCCTACATTAAGGAGTGCTCCTTAATAGGGTTTTAAATTTATAATGAAAACAATAATTTAATTTTGAAGTATATATTTTTTCCATTTCTACTTTCCAATAAAAATAATGTTTAACGATATAAATACGTCGTCGCCTATTAGTTATGAGCACTATAAAAGAACTATTGTTGGAATAAGCGTGTCTATGTCAAAGTTTATTCGATTACTTTTATTATACAGATTAAAAAAAACATAAATATAAATATAATATAATGTTTTGAATAATTTTAACAGTAAAATATATTGCGTATATAAATAATGTAATAAGATATTTTGTACTTCTACTGTTTTAAATGCATATCCTATTTATAATTTTAACTAAAAATGGTTCTATGTACTAGTAAAACTAATAAGTAACTGTTATCTTTATTCCAACTAATGCTACAAATATATGTTATCAAATGAAAAATTAGTTGATGTTTTAAAAAATAAATGAGTGTTGATCTGATCTATTTTCATCTACTATAATAAATCAATAACTGCAATCACATACGTTATATGAAACTGCGATTGTAGTTTAGACTTGACAACATTAATCTCATGTTATTCTGATAAAATTAATGGTAATGGAACTTGATTATTTCTCTTAGTAACCTTTACAAATATTAATTGAATTTGTTATAGAAAAAAAATGTGTTCTAACATAAATTTCTGGTAGGCTTTTTCGTCGTCCACCTGTTTTGCCGAAACTCTTTCTTTAAGTTCATAATTAACGAACATTATTTAAAGAACAATATTAACGTGTAAATTACTGATATTATTCTGAGTACTTATTGTATCACGTATTTATATTTTTTTATGATGTTTTATGCCATACATTTATCGAGTTAATCATTTTGTTTTTAAGAGTCGATCAAGGTCAACATTTCTTCTTGCCATAAAATTATTTAAATAATTAGGCTGATTATCGATATTACATTTATAGTAAAAATTCATTTATTAGAAGGTTTAAAAAGTAACACGTTACGATACCTTCTGTCGTAACATTTTTCCGTCTAATGATGTGTACCTGTTTAAATAAATAACAAGCTGTAAAATTCAACCGTGCAGGTAAACAGAATTTCTACAGATGAAGCAAAATACACCTGAACACTCTATAGATCTCCCAATGAAATATAGACTAATAAAAAAAATACGTAAAGAATTTAATAAATGTTGATAATTGTAAAACGGGTATTGTGTCCAATTATGAGCCGTTTGTTACTAACGATGTGTAAAACCATACAAGCACGACTTCCGATTTTAGTTTACCCAGAAGTGCGACTCTCCTTTCATGGCGTAGTACAGTCCTTCCGGATTTAGGGTAAACGAAGGAAGTGCGCCTATTAAGTGCATTAAAAAAATAATATATACGAGAAATGTGATCAGTGCGCGTTACATGATTTTGTATCAATATGCGTGCCTGTTTAAATACTATACTGTGATCAATTATGCATCAATAATATAAGTATTTTACTATAACGATATACCACAGAGTACCAAAACGGATATTGCATTGTGCGACGACCGTGTCCTATTCAAATTATATTATTATTTTTATAATTATTACTACTAGATTTAGTGTTTCAAAATTATACAAAAACTAAAATTACACTGTTCCTGGTAGGGACCATACGACTTTATCATGATTTTAACAAATAAAAAACATGTGGAGCATAAGTCAATGTAATAAAATGAGATAAATACGGATGTCCGCATACAATTCGATGCTCTTGTTTGTGGACAATAAAAATTAGTTACTTTGTATGTAAAAATAAAACGTCAAGTTTCTGTATAAATATTATATTTGTCAGTTTACAAGATAAACTTGTAATATGCTTTTGTATATTTTTAGTGTTATCCCGAATTCATTAGAAAAAAATCTTGGTTAATAGTTGTGTTATTTATTGTTTATGCCCTGTAAGTAAAATTTAACAGTATAAAATTGTAACACTATGTTTAAGAAACTTTATTTTATCTAATAATTTTTAAACTCTTATTGAGGTATCTTTGTTGAAAATATTGGGAAGAATTTTTTTGCGTTAATATTTTTATTTTTATCTGTACTGTTTTTTTACCATTAAATATATATAATAGGAATTTATAGTTTTGTGAAAAATTCGACTAAAAACAGATTACCCATTTGGTTTCAGATTGAATTGTAGCATATTGTGTAGTGTGCCACCCACGTTTATAGTATTTATTTAACCTGGAAGGAACTTGTGTTGTTACAGATAAGATGGCCATGACTTCAACTGAAAGGTAAGTTGGCTTTTTAAAATAATTCTAATTGTTGTCTAGAAAAAATACTATTTTTAATATTTGACGTCTGAGTCTACAACTCGTCAAACGAGGAAATAACAACTATTAATAATGTACTAATTAGTAGATGTATTATTATGTGCATCGTCATGTCCTAAATATGAATAATGTCATTACATATCTTCACTTCCAGCGTTTTGCTTTGTACAGTATTCGATACGGTCATAATGTATAGGTTTTACAAGTGTTCGCAATACATATGTTTAATGTATAAATATATAGTATACACATAGTTATAGTAGCATATTTCATGTGTTTTGTACATTTTATTATATAACAGTACTATGGGAAATTTTGAACATCTTGTAAAATTTTCACTATAGTTAAATTGTTTTGTTGTCGATATCTATTAATAATTGTATACGTATAAGAAAAAGAAGACAAATAAAGTAAAAATAATAATTACTTGGTATTTATAATTACATTCATCTATATGGTGTTTTCTACATCTCATTTACAAAGCTATATGAAATATGAGTCAAATGCGACTCTGCAGTCTATTGTCATAGATTTCAGCTGATTTCTAAAATTAATATGATATTTTGTTTTCTATAAAGTATATAAGTAGCGTACATTTTTTAATTTTTGGATGATTAGAGCGCTAAATGTATGAGGTTTAAAATTACAATAAATTTCAGACAACCTTGTTTTTTAAAAAAATATTTACTGAAAAAATTGTGACCTATTCATTAAAATGCAAAATGTGTAGGTCGTCCTTTATTCTATTGTGTGAGTTTAACACAATTAAATGCATGTTTATTCACAGTTAGCATAATCATAAATAATTATTTTTAATTAATTATTTTATATCATAAACAACTACTTGCTTACCTATTATTAATTGATAATTGGCTATTCTGTTTTCTTTTTAATTTTAGAACTATCAATTCATAATACAGTTAACAGTTTTAAATCGAAGAAAATGTGTATGTGCGTGTATGCTTTTTAATATTTAAATTATCATAACACATGAACATTTTATGTTGTGTAATAATAAAATATAAAAAGACAAATTCTCATAATTTTAAGTATTCAGAAAAATATTGACATTAAAATATGTACATCATTTTTTCTTATTTTTTCATTATTACAATAATTATTATTATATAATCAGTATTACAATAAGCGTTTCCGTTGTTAATAATTAATTATTAAATTTTGCTTATAAAAAAACCCAGCACGGGGGGGTCGCGGCTTCGCATCGAAGCTAAAAAGTCAATATTAACTAGATATTTAAGTGATTACTCTTTTATGAAAAAATATGCATGTTTTTTTGTCAAGTTAGTATATCATAACGGCCTTAGTGTGAATTATATAACATTCACTGTGGTAAAAATTTTATGAAGCTATTGTATGATGTAAATTATGCGAAAATTTGAGAGAATGTGCTGAAAAAAACATATCCTAATAAGTTTTTGTTCAACATTTACCTATTCAATAATTTTACCAGGTTAATTTTATATGGATATTTACCATCAGATGATGGATGCGACAAATTATTTAAAATAATAGTATTAATTAGATAAAACCGTGAGAGTTCTCATCTTTCAGCCGGTTTTTGAGCGAATGACCATCGTATATGCAATAATAGCAAATTAAATTTATAATCCTATAAACTATATGAATAAGCTAAGGAATATTAATAAACTGGAAAAGTAATGTTAACTAAAGCATTCCATATTCTCATTTACAAATCTGCTGGATTAATGTGTACATATTTATACATTTTTTTACAATTTTGAGTGCATTAAATATATTTTTCTACCATTTGTTTTATTATATGAAACTATGTACATCTGTTTTTGTTGATGTATAATTAGCTTAATTAGCGTGTTGATATCTTTGAAATTCAAATATGTTGAAGTTATTTTAAATATTACCAGTACAACGATTTTAGTTGTCTAAATTTTAGCCATCTATACGATCCATCAATTACACTTAACTTTATTGTTTTTACCCCATTTCGCTGTGCTGAAAATGGAAAGTACAGTAGCGTGTTTTGATAATTGTTTGGTTATTAATTATTAGACACAACATAGGTTATCCTCAAAATTCTAATTTATTATTGTAATTTATTCATATATTGTACAGTTGAATATTATAATACTGTTCACGTACGCATCAATAGTGTGCCTATGATATGATCATAGTCTATGATAATTCCTCTAAATCATCAGTATTGATAGGAAATCAATTTCAATCAGCATTAACGCATGAATAATGCCAATAATAGGGTGGATATAAGTATACCGACGTAATCGTTGCAAATCATCAATATTGATCGTTTTATAGTTATTTATATTCATATAAATTAATTTTTTCATCTACTAAAGTTGTTTTGATTTGGGAAATATTGGAATATTTTTGTGCTGTATAAATCTATAAACAATTGTTGACATATTGAGAGAGATTTTAATTTTAATATGAATGAAAAATTACTCGAATTATTTTTATGGAATAATTTTTTTTCTTTCGAAGACTAGAAGTTTTACTTCTGCCATTTTTAGAATGATTTTAAGAATCATATTTTAATATTTCGCACTCGGTAATTTTTCGACCTATGATAAGTGTATCTATAAACCTAGTCAATGATCTCTATAGTTGTAATAAAATAATTAATATTAACTATTTTTTTTTTTAAATGTTCAAGGTATATATATATACGTAGGTGAATAATATTACTCGAAGTATTTAGTGATAATCTAAATCACTGTATAATCAAATTTATAGAGTGTCTCGTTTCTATTACTAATTTACGTATATTTTGTAATCAGTTTTAGAAGTATTCATATAAATTGTTTGGAAAAGAAAGCTGACTGAGAGTCTGCAGTTGCACGGACTTTTTTAAGAATTATACAGCATATATGTATTATAATTACACACACACACACATATATATATTCTTTGCTCAGTCTTTCATCGATACTAAAGTAACTAAAACAATAATAGTTGGATTAACTGTGATAGCCAAAGTAGTAAAAAAATAATATTAGGGATTATTTTTGTGTCTTGATTTTTATTTCTGAATTTAAAGAAATAAATTATTTTAAGTAATTTTATTATAATTTGTTTTTTAACTATCTGGGAAATTAAATATTTTGCGTTACGAGAAAAATATTTCTTAGTAGTTTTTTTTTTCATGAGTAATTGCTTGATGTTAATAATTTTAAAATTGTATTAAGTGTCTGTTGGCCGCGCATCTATGATTTTACCGGCAAAGCGTATAATTGGTCGTGATTTCCACGGATAATGTTAGAAATCAGTGGAGTGTTCTCACGTATATGATAATAATATTTCATATTTTAACTTTATTATTACTGTATACACACGCGTTAACTATGATCTGACGGTCCTCAAGCCACTGTACATAAACCGGATCAGTAGAAGCTGCCAATTTAACGTCTTAACGTGCTGTATTGCTCCGGGGGCAGCTCTCCGTTTGTTTATTCACACTGAACAAGCAGTCGGATCTTTTGGTTGTTAACGATAATTGAGTGTAGAAAAAATGTAAAGAGAGCGGACGGTATTTTTTTACACCTTTGATAAATATATTTTGCTCTGCATGTTCTTACTGCGACCGTGTTGTCCAACGATCTGAAAGTTTATCGCATGACGTTATAAAATAGCTGATTGATATTTACTTATAACAACTATATATTTATTGTGAGGCTTTCGAGTCGTGCGTGTGCTCGTAATTGAAACAATAAGGCTATTAAAATTGAAACGACACACGCAAGATAATCTAAAAAAAGGGTTTTGCGGAAAAAAATGACTCAAGTACATGCATTCAAACAAAACGTGCACACAGTATTTTATGAGTTCTAGTTTCTCCTAGATCCGTCATAGTATGTGAAATTTATTGTTTTTCGATTTTTGTTGAACAATATATTGCTAATATTCATTTATACCGTTTGGTACTTTGAGTCAATTAACATAAGACACGTTGTGTGACACATTAAACTTGCTGCCTCATTGCTGTGCGTTTATTTCTTTGCGCGTGCCACGGTTTAGGTGTTACTTTGTAATTACATCTATTATACAGCAATGGTAAATATAAGTTATTGCTATGGATATGTCAAAATTTTATTACGTGTATTTTTTACAATTAAAAAACTATTATAGCTTAAGAATGTTGATAAAAAAAAAAATTCTTTGTACAACTAAATAAAATAACACATAGACGACACGGATATCTGTGTGAAGGACCATGACTATCAACAGGGCGAATACTTAATGACGTGAAAAAGACCTGTCGTAGTCCTTGTTCATATGTTTGTGTGTGAGAATATTGAAAACTCTCAGGAGAATCGTTTTTCAAAATCGTGCTTCCCCTTTTCTATGGTATAAATAATGCATTTTATGTTTCAGTCATTCATTGATAGGTACGACCGCGTAACAGGAGATGACATATTTGTGGTCGGCCGCAAACGCATACCATTAAGAGGGGACGTGTGTGTGTTCAGTGTAGTATACGATCAACGTCGTCGGTATTCATGTGCTTAAGATTATAACAATATTATTATGTATAATTATAACGATTTTAGAAATAAAACAACTATACATGAATGCCTTCCGAGTGACCACAACAACAGGTATAGGTGTTTGTGTGCACTGTATATACAAGAGGGCACTGAGTTTTATATGTAACGTGTGCACATAGGAGTCTGTCAGGGCGGAGTGTATTTCGTATAATGATATTGTATTATTTTTTTGTTGTTTCTGATACCAGTCCTGTGCGCAGGATCTACGGGGCGGCGTTCCAAGGCTGGATCTAATCACAACGCTGGCCAGATACCGCACATTACGCCGTCATGCTCGCTTATCCCATTTCTCACGCAATAACTCCCGTGGGTAGATGATATGCCTGGAAAAACAACAAAGATTTACCTCGGCGTCATCGATATGTATTTATTTGATTTAGCGAGAAAGTCACGTTTTTT